CCACAAGCCGGTAGTCGCCGCGAGCCGACTGCTGGCTACGCTGCCCACCGTCGGCTTGCGCTTCATCGACCACGTGGTCGGCAACCAGCCCGACCTGCAGATGGACAACGTGGCCAACTGGTACGAGCGCTCGCTCACATTTCACCGCTTCTGGTCCATCGACGACAAGCAGCTGCACACGGATTTCTCGGCGCTGCGCTCGGTGGTCGTCACCAACTGGGACGAGACAATCAAGGTGGGCACACGGCCGGTGAGGCGCTCACGGCCGGCAGCGGGCACACGGCCGGCAAGGCGCTCACGGCTGGCAGCGGGCACACAGCAGGCGAGGGGCATATGGCCGACGAGAGACACACAGCCGGCAGGGGCACACGGCCGACAGCGGGCACACGGCCGGCAAGGGGCACACGGCCGGCAGAACGCATACGGCCGGCAGGGGCACACGGCCGACAGCGGGCACACGGCCGGCGAGGGGCACACGGCCGGCGAAAGGTACACGGCCGACAAGAGGCACACGGCCGGCAAGGGGCACAGCGACGGCAAGGGGCACACGGCCAGCACGGAACACACGGCCGGCAGGGGGCACACGGCCGGCAAGGGGCACACGACTGACAAGGGGCACACGGTCGGCAAGGGGCACACGACCGGCTGTTCACGGGCGGCCGCTAAGCACGTGTCAGCAAAACGGTATCGTGTGCGGCGTGATGTGTTGAGGGCATGTTTGTCGCAGCTTGCGGCAGGCGAGGCTGGGACCATCGGTTATAAGCTTGCCGAATGTGAGCTCGACACTGTCCATAGTTGTCGAGTTCAATGTCCCAACCTGAGCTACTTCGATCAGTTTTATGGTAGAAATGGAACTGAATATGACCTAGCAAGCCATCGTCCGTCTTCTTGAATATGGCGACGCCTAGAGTGGCACGAGTTACTCGATGGCTGATTCAAAATGGCTCAATGTTAACGCAATGTTGAACCGACTTGTTCAGTCATGGGTTCACGTAAAATAATCGAGACAGAGTGGGAAGATTGTGCAGCTGTCAAGCTAACCGTAGGTGCACGATTTTAACATGTCAGTGGCAATCGTATAGAAAATCTGGGACGCTCACCGGCCTTTCTCCCTGGTCCCTTGCAAGACGAAACGTTCCCTACGCATCCGCAAAAGAAAAGTTCAGGTAGTTGTCCCAGCTGTCTCCCTAGATTGCTTCACGCTTATTTCTAGGGGACACGTCACGGGCGTTCCCTCACCGGGCCCTTCCCGCGTGACAGTGCCGTATTTTTGCCCGTTCGTGACCATCCTAGTGTCCGTGCACTGATCTTTCACTTATCCCGCGGCTGAGCGTGTCCACCTATCCCTGGTCGGCTGGCGGGGTGTCCGTGTATTCATCTATCCCTGGCCGGCTGGCGGGGTGTCCGTGTATTCACCCGCTCCTGGCCGGCTGCCGGGGTGTCCGTGTATTCATCTATCCCTGGCCGGCTGGCGGGGCGTCCGTGTATTCACCCGCTCCTGGCCGCCTGACGGGGTGTCCGTGTATTCATTTGTCCCTGGCCGGCTGGCGGGGTGTCCGTGTATTCATCTGCTCCTGGCGGTTGGCGGGGTGTCCGTGTATTCACCCGCTCCTGGCCGGCTGGCGGGGTGTCCGTGTATTCATCTGCCCCTGGCCGGCTGGCGGGGTGTCCGTGTATTCATCTGCCCCTGGCGGTTGGCGGGGTGTCCGTGTATTCACCCGCTCCTGGCCACCTGACGGGGTGCCTGTGTATTCATCTGTCCCTGGCCGGCTGGCGGAGGGCCCGTGTATTCACCCGTTGCTGGACGTCAGATGCCCATCAACGAGCCGGCGCCGGGCAAGAGGAAGTCCCAGATCCAGGAGTACGTCGACTTCTACGGCGGCGCTGGCGTACAGCACATCGCGCTCAACACTAGCGACATCATCAGCGCAGTAAGTAGCGCCGCCTGGCGGCCGGCGCGATCGGGTCCGGGTGTCTCCGGACGGACGCGGAACGTACACGAGCAGGAGCACGGGCGGGGTCTGACGCCACGAGGGGAAGGACTGGGCGTTATCATGGGTCGGAACGGCCACCAACAGGGAGTCGTCAGACACCATCGGGGACATAGCGAAGGTCATCGGGGTTTAGAACGGCCATCAACGGGGATCTGTCATATACCATCAGCGGACATAGCGCGGGTCATCAGGGATCGGAACGGACACGAACGAGGGAGGGCTTGGACGCCGTCAGCGTGGAGATAGCACATCGGCGGGCGTGGGACCACACTGGCGTGCGGTAGCCAGCTGCGCCAGCACCACTTGCTGTTGGTGAACATGGCAAGCGGTGATTTGAGAGGATACGCTGGGCGTGGGGCACGGCCGTGACGCGGCCGCTGATAATGACCGGCAGATACGCAGCATGAAAGCCCGCGGCATGGAGTTCCTCACCATCCCCGACACCTACTATGAACAGCTTCGCGAGCAGCTCAAGCATTCCAAGGTCAAGGTGGAGGAGGACCTGGATGTCCTGCAGGTAAATGCGACCCGGACCCTTCGTAGGTGGGTGGAGCGTACCCTCCAACGTGGACTCCACCTTGAACATGGCTGGCAGGTTGTTGGTTACAGGCTTCAGGTGGGAGGGGGGTGCTCAGACTCAAGTCCGTCTGAACGGGGCGGATGTCATTCGTCCAGTGGGATATCGCACATTGCGAGACTTCTGTACGCATGATTTCAGTCAAAGATCCCAGCGTCGCCTAGCGGAAGCCTACCTTGCCTCATGTCCGTAACGTGCGGCTCAAAGGCTCGTAGCAATAGCCCATTAATGACGTTGTCGAACGCCGTCATAGGCTCACCCTGTAATAAATTTCACGTCCTTCAGCAGGGCGCTCACCGGCTGCTGGGGCTGAGGCCACGGAGCGCGTCGAGTGTTCATATGGTTTGAGTGAAAGAATAAAGTGCTGGAGAGGCCGGTAGTAATTACAGGTGGCAAAAACTACCTAAACGTGTCCGTGACCCATGTACATGTGGTCGGGGGTGAAATTTTGGCGCAAGCGGCGTAAAGTCCTGGAAAAAAACCTAATCTCCGCCTGCGAGTTGGCTCATCAACCCACACAGCTCTCACGACCGTGCTACTTGGCTTAACCATGCGGACGGATGTTCAGTGGTGCGTGGTAGCGGGTGGTGCTGCGTTTCCGTTGTCGGTGACGGTGTGCACCGGCGCAGCTGGTGCTCTACGTACGGGGAATGGGCACCAGCTGCCGTGTAATACCACACAACCCGGGATGGTGCGGCGGAGCGTCATGCGCCCGCCGCTGGGAAGACGGGTGATATACGCGATAATTTGCTGTGGTGTTCCCGCGCCCTCGGTCGCACATCTGAAGATGGTCACGTGACGTCGACCGAACCACCCAGCAGATGAAAATCAGCCTGGTGTGAGCATTTGCATCGCGTGTTGGCTGTTAAAAGCTGGCGAGTTTGTAAATGTTTCGTCGCATGTCACCAGGAAGTGCAATCATTGGTTATCCTGCAGACAACGATCCCAGGTATCGACAAATTAATGGATGGGTTGGGTAGCGTGTCACTGAGGCACCTCCGTACAGCCCGTCTCACCTGTTGCATTGGGCGTCAGTTTTGCGCACATTCACCTACATTGAAGTGCCCAATATATGTACTACACCGGGCATATATCCCGGTGCTACGTGATAAGTCAATGGCCGGGCCGGAAAATAATTTCGTTTTTACAGGGATTTTCACGATATTTGGGAGTGAGGCCAAGGGCAAAGTTATGATATAAATGTACGTGATGCATGTGATGCGAGACACCATGCACACAGTTTTGTACGGGAAAACTTGAACAGTATACTTTCACCATTCTACAGGAGCTGAACATCCTAATCGACTACGACGATAATGGATACCTCCTGCAGATATTCACCAAAATCATGCAGGACCGGCCAACGCTGTTCATGGAGACCATTCAGCGGCACAACCACCAGGTGAGAAAACGGTCTGCGCCCTGGCCCCGCAGGGCTCCCGAGGTCGCGAGCGGACGCGCTGATGCTATAGGTCGTACACACCCCGATTTCCAACGCCGCTGGTGTGTATTGTAGATCCTGGAGTTAAGACTGTTACGTTGGGTTGAAAGGATACCGCATAACAAAGACACGACACCTTGAACATGCAAAAACACAAGGGCATCGTTTTAAACGTAAAACTGTAATAACTGTAACGACTGTAAAAACATGTCAATAATAATGCCATCTACTTATACCTTGAGGCCCGTTTTCACCAGGCGAGTGTTATTTGTCGACGTCATCGTCCGTGCAACCATGCCACGTGTGCTACGTTGCAGTCGTTTATTTTCGAATCCCCTGGCACGAAGTTTTGACTCCCTGCCCCCTCTCCACTTACGCTCTGCACCAGCTTGACCCCGCGCAACCCCAGGCGACCAGCCGGCGAGATGTCCCGTGAGACCCGCGCTGGCCGGCCAACACCGCTTCAGCCAAACTCGTCTGTGCACGGCTCCCTGAGTCGCCGACGGCCTCCGTTTCGGTCTGCGGCCGTGGCCGGCGACGCACTGCGCGGCCCAATGATGCTCTGCTTTGCTATGACCCCAGGGCTTCGGAGCCGGAAACTTCAAGGCGCTGTTCACGGCGATCGAGATCGACCAGGCACGGCGCGGGAATCTGTGAGCGGCGCGAGGATGGACGGAGCGGGGCCGGCGGGCGCCTGCGAGCGGCGCGTGACGGCGGCCGCGAACGCAGCCAGGCGCGTCAAGACTTCAGTGCCATTATCTCGAACGTGCCCACTCACGGCAGTGTTTGGTAGATTCAATCACGGCAGTGTTCGGTACTCACCCACGTATGCCCAGTGCGAGGCAGACACTCCTGCGGAGAGTCGCCGGGTGTCGTCTGTGTAATCTCTAACAAAGGTTGCGGGCGGGTTAGCTGTGTCGTTCCCAGACATACGTCAGCCAATACATGTTCACACAAACAAGCCGGATCTCTTGGAGCGTCATAAGCGGCCCGCCTTCTGAGCGCGTGACAGAACGCGACGACTCGTGTAACGCACCACTTGAAGACGCTACGCTTCCAGGACGCTCGCATTCAACTCCGGTTCTGTCGGTTCGATGTTTCTACTGTGACGACCGCGTTTGTTCGTCGGCGCCTTCAGCTCCAAACGACACGCTATCACGCCCGCCGCGCTGGGTTCTGGCGCCAGCAGAGGACTCCCTGACGCCACGTGCGCCCAGACAGACGCGAGAGCTGAATCGCAGTTTATTTAAATAGCTACAATAAGTTAATACAGAGTGGATCATAAACGGTTCGGACAGACGTGGCTGGGCGCCGGACGCCGGCCTGGTCAATCAGCACCCGACCAGGGTCAACTATGGCAAGCTTCTGTAGAAAACTGCAGTACAATAAAACACAACACTATTTATGGATTTTCTGTAATTATTTATAAAACATAAAACGTCTGACACAACAAAATAACCGTAAAAACTCCCCCAAATGGGTTAAATGAAAGCCACCGGCCGCCCGGGACCGCGAGGTCACGAGCCGCCGGCGGCCGCACGCCGGTACAAAATTAGAAAATGCTATACAAAACGACTTATCATCTAGGTGACTGAAAACGCAGAGTGGGAGCCCTGCGGGGGCGCGCGGCCGCCGGCGGACACCCCTCGCCCCCCCCGCATGGCGGCGCGGGAAGTAACTCAACACCCAGGTACTGCCAAAGCGGGGCGCGCTGGCGGCGGCGCGGGGTGGCCGGCCGCCACCGCGAGCGGTACCAGGCGCGGGCCCGCGTGCGCCGCCGCCAGCGCCGCCGACCGCAACGCACTCGCGGACAACTGTAACTTCTAGCGAAATGCAAACCATTCTGAAGCGTAGTCGCTACGTCAAACCAGGCTCAGCGCCGCCAATAATGATCAGGCATTATAAATCACATCCGATTTTCTAAATTATAATATAAAACCGTTCAGCTAGTGGTAAACATGGACTAGGAAAATAAATGAATGACTTTAATTTTTGTACAAAACCATTCAGAACATGTTTGTACACCACACAAGTTGCAATCGATTGGCGCAACCGCAGCGAACTGAACCGAATGAGACAGACACACTACGCTATGTCCGGCGGCGGACCGCACCTGCGCTAACCGGGCCGACGGGCAGCGCGCGCGGCGGCCGCCAGGGGGGCGGCCGCTGCCGCCGGACGACTACCATCATTTCAGGCTCAACTATGGGTAAGTTGCAAGCCAGGACCCGTTAAACCACACCGGGGGAGCCAGGACACTGGTAGCCGTCCTCGATCGGGAGGGGTGGGGTGGGAGGGGCTAGGGCCGGCGGTCGAAAGCAGCGAGGCCCGGAGGCGGCTCAAGCTGGTGGGAGACGCGAGGGAGCCCGCGGCGACGCCTCCATCAGTCGGCACCGCAGTCGTCTGGACGGCGGGCCACGCGCGGCCTGGAAGGGGGCGGGACGGCCGCGCCACGGCGGCTGAGGACGGGGAATCGGCCGGGCGCCAGCGGATTATGCTCGGGTTAGGCTGCTATCCTTATGGAGCTGGACCCCCTGCCGTACGACACCGTGAAAGATACACGCCCACGCCCAGCGTGCGATCCGCGCCGGCCGGCGGGGCGCAGGCGCAGCTGCCGCCCCGCGCGCGCCGGCCATTCCTGACACTGCTTTTGATTCCGAACCGCGCGGCGACGCCGCCGTGCCGCACTTTGACATGGTGACCCGCATCTGGTGGCTGTGGCTCGGAGGGAGGGCTCGCGAGTGCTCAGTGGGCGGGCGACCGCAGGCCGACCCGGCCCGGCCTACTATCACAAACACCGGACAACACACGGGTCAAGATAAGCGTGCTGCTCTAAAGCTCCGGACCGACGCGGCGCGCGCGCGCACCCGAATTTATCAACGGCGTCATCACCCGAACAGTCATAGATATCCACGCTAACATGAATTAATGAAGTGTTATCTAAACACGTAAAACGCTGGATAAGTCTAAGCTATAATTCGTCGCCAGCTAAATAAGTGATAACATTCTGAAATCATAAATGTATGAACTAGAAAATTAATTGCATAAATTAGCTTAAATCACAATCGGGGGATAAATACAACTATCACATGTATTTCGTATTATATATATGCCCATAGTGGAGCGAACGGGGTCAAAGTCCCCGAAATGACTCAAGTGTCGAGGATACATAGAAAACGTGCGGGAGGGCTCGCGGCGTGCGGCCGGAAGGCCGGACCCCCGCGAGCCCCACCGCTTGGGGCGGCGGCGGGCCGGCCGGTCGGCTGTGTTAAAAACACCCTCCACATAGAGAAACACACAGGCTGGCGGCGCCGGTTAACAGGGATCACATGAGACTGAGGCGACAGCGGCGGGGCGCTCCACTGGATTACAAAGAGGTATTACTATATGTACAAAAATGTAACCCCAAAAATAAAGAGGAACTATGTGATTTCCAGTCCACGTACTGTTATATAAATATCTGCCGTTTGTACATAAATCTATTTACAATTGCAAACGCCAACGATACAAAAATGTGAAAAAGTAAAAAATGTATCCAAACGACTCTCAGCTGGAATACAAGAGAGGCTCGGCGAATTACGAGGTGGCTATCAGCTACGGTAATAGTTTATACAGATATGTATATAAAATGTCGGCCGCCGCCGGCCTGCCCGCCGCCGCCCCGGCACCCTCTCCGTCGGCAGGCTCTGTCCTGCCCCATCAGCGCATGCCTAGTCTATGGCACTACCACACCTGGAAAATCCACATCTAGCGGGACATTAACTAGCCGGGAGCGCGCCGGCGAGAGGGAGCGCCGCGCTGCGGCCGGGGAGCGCAGGAGCGGAGCTGACTAGGCGTGTCCTGGGTGCGGCGCCAGCCGGCCGCCTAGCACCAGCGGTACGGCACGGCGCGCGGCCGGTCGGCGCCCTCCTTCACCAGCGGCTTGTGGAACTCGCGGCCCGGCCGCGAGTGGATGGTGGCCCAGCAGTGCTCGCAGTAGTACTGCAACGCGCGGCGGTCGGGTCAGACGGGGCGGCGCGACATGCCAGACACGGCTGAGCACGAGCGAGGCGACACAGGTGGCGCGAACGTGAGGGCACCGATAGACAGGCAAGCGGCCAGCGCCACACCCAGGCGTCCGGCATCTGTCCGCCGTGAACGGCGCAGTCCCCCGCAGAGGCCAACGCGCAGCACACACCGAACATACGGCGACTCCTCGGAGCTGAGCACGAGCGCGCCACTGGGGACGAGCCGGTGCTGCAGCGAGCGGCCAGCCGTGGGCGTCTGCCCGCCTCCACAGGCCGGCAGTAAGAGAGCCCCACGGACCCCGGACGGAGCCGGCACTGCCTGACGACGCCTCAGTAATGCACAGTCCGAGCGTGGCCCGTCGCTCACCTGCAGACAGGTGACGTTGGCGCAGAAAAAGGGGGCGAACTTGCCGCTGCAGCGCGTGCCCTGGCACTCGTCGCACATCTGGTCATCCAGCACGTACGGCTTCACCTCCACCTGCGCGGTGGCAGAGCGGCGTCAGCACCAAACGGATTACCGCCCCGGCTGACTGGAGCCCGCCACGGACACGGCAGAGGCGCCCAGACGACGGGGCGCTCACCGTCAACACCACCACTCGCACCAACCGTGTGATTAGTAACGCTGAAAAGGCATAGCCCCGGACGGCTACACAGCACAGCCCGTCGTCACATGACCCGAGCACAGCTGCGAGGAGTCCGGCGATCGCTCCAGAGCTGACCCGCGACCCGGGCGCTGCCGCCGGGTCGGTCGAGCCAAACCCGGCCGCAGCGCTCGGGCGGCATCCGGCCGCAGAACACGACGCACATCGATCGGCGTGCCGCGGCCCGGATAAAAACGGCCTCCTAATAGCGCCGGCGGGGCCGGAGCGCAGATGCGCTTCATTACAGCCCAGCTGTCACGGCAAAAAGGCGCGACCTGCACGTCCCGGCGGTGACCGGGCGGCAGAGTCGGAGCTCGGCCGGCCGGCCGTCGCAGCCGGGGCTCGGCGGCCGACGCGTCACGCACCCGCTTGTCGATGTCGCCGTGCTGCAGCTGCACGAAGCGGGCGCTGATGGCTGCGATGTAGCTCTGCTGATTGCTGAAGGCCACTCGGCCGGCGCCCTTCGGATACTTAAGCTCCGGATCCGTGTCGATCCCGGCGTAGCAGACGCCACCGTACAGGCGGTCCATGATCATGGCCAGTTCAACTGCCGGCCAGGTCAGATCAGGTCAGCTCAGGTCAGGGCGTCACAGGCGTCCACGTAACGGCAGTTCACGATCGCGGCCAGCTAAAATACCGGTAAAGTTAGGTCAGGTCGCCACCGACGACCCTGAACAGGCGGTCCATGATCATGAGCAACCCAAATGCAGGTCAGGTCAGGTCAGGTCAGGTCAGGTCAGGCCAGGCCAGGCCAGGTCACCACACACCCACGTTCAAATGGTCGTTGGTCGTGGCAAGCTCGGCTGCCGGTCAGGTCAGTTCAATGATGGCTTTAGCGAAAGTTCAGGCCACCGTCAAAATTGATTTCAAGACTTAGCGGATGATAAGCAAGGGCTGGAGCCCGACGCATGGACTGCGCATTTGCAGTAAGACGCCGAGGCGGAGAATACGATCCCGTTTCTTCCTACGCCACCGCACAAACTCGCCTTAGCGAGATAAATCTTTGGAACGGAGTCGGCCCGCGTTCCACAACATTAACCCTAATGCCTAACGTTTCAGCAGACCCATGAGCACCACTCCAACCACCATGCAATTCTGAACGGTGCAATCCTTCCCGGCAGATTTGCCTGATGTTTGACATGAACATTGATCAATTCGGAGAAATGCAGCACACTTACTGCGCTTGCGCCCAGGCGTGGCAAAAGGTTTTAACCCGCAGTGGCAGGCTTCCCGGGACTCGGTCTGCGACGTACCGCCACGTCCATTCGAGGGCGCCAACACAAGCGTTTCCGGGTACGGATGCCGTCGAGCAGACGCTAGTCGAGCGCGGACCTGTGCGGACGGCCAGGAGCACGACGGCAGCCTGCCTACTGCGGGCCAGCGGCGCGCGACAGCCGCGGGGCGTCCGGCCGGCCCGACACCACGGGCAGCTCGCTGCGCGGAGAACGCGCCGGAGAACGCCCGGCCCATCTGACCAGGCGGGCCGGACGGAGCCCCCACCCCTCCGGCAGCAGAGGGCAGTCGGGGCGCTCTGGCGGCCCCGGTCGAGGTCGGCCGGCTCGTGCGCCGGGACAGGTGCCGGGTCGCCGGGACTGACGGTAGATCGATGTGCCGGCCAGACAGGGGGCGACCGGCGCCACCCGCTGAGGGGCGCGACGGCGGACCCAGCGGCCGGGCGGCCCGCGACTCGGTCGATCTCGCCGGCGACATCGATTCCAGGTCTGGAGCGGCGACGTGCCGGGGCGGGCTCGGACGCGGTGGCGTCTCCCGGTCCCGCCCGCGCCCGCGCCTCGCCCGGGGGAAGCCACCCCGGCCGAGCGAACGGCAAGCGCCGGTCGAAGCCGGCGGTGACCATCTCAACCAAACCTGTCGCGAGGCGGCCGGACGCACGGGAATACGCCGCGCCAGACGCCGCGAACCCCGCCGAACCGCATCACCGAGTCACAGGTGGAATCATTTGAAGTTGCTCAATACGAGTTCCGTCCCACGACGAACTCGACTGCGGGGGTCTATTTGGACCCAAAAGCTGACGTCACCGGTTGAATTCAGGTACAATGACAATAGCAAATGGGTTTGGCCATTCAGTCGAGCTTTTCATCGAAATGGCACCCCTACAACTTGCCAGCCATTAACTTATGACCTATAGGTTAGGCACATCCGCACCAACGCACTAATAATTTGAAACTCCCGCACAAGTACGTCAACTGGTTGAATATCGGGCTTTTGAGGTTCGTGGGCTCTGAGAACGAAGAACTGCCAAGAAAAGGGATGGTTTCAGAGAATACTTTGAAGTAGAGTAGGCCTAGGCTTTTCGCCGAAAGCTCCATCAAAGGAGGCGTCCCCACACCGCAGGCGCCGGCGCCCACCAACGCGCGTCCGTTCTACAGCCTGCTGTCGGGCGCCGGGCCTTTGAGGTCCGAGTGACGCTGCGTGAGTTCGGCCTCGCCGCGGCGCGCGCAGCTCTGCCGGTGGCCGAGCAGCTACCGGCCGTCGGCCCTGGGGGCGGTGACGACCGCCGGGGGCGGCGCCGGCACGCGGAAGGCGGCCTGGGCGGACAGCTCCGGCTGCACACCGTCCCACGGACACGCTAGCAACGCTGGAGGCAGCCCCCTGGTTAGAATACAGACCAGACTGCGCCGAAACACCAACAAACTGCTGCAGAAGTTTCCGATCGACCCCGACGGCACCCTGCAACTTTAACTCACAACGTCCCAGCAGGCGAGCGACCCCGCGGGAGAGCCTCCAGCACCAGGTCGTCGCGGGCGGACAGCGGTACAGACGGCGCCGGCCCGAACACACGTCCCATCGGTGCCCCGCACCGACCAGCCCATCAGCCATCTGAACAGCTGGAGGCCCTGGAGCCTCCAGGGCAGCCTTGGTCGACACGGCAGCCCGGTCACCCGGCTCCAACAGGGACGCGCCGGCTCTGACCGCAAAACGGACGGCGAGGTGAAGCGGCTGGCCTGCGACGCTACGCCGGGCATCGCAGTCCTGGAGCCTCGGCCGCATCGCCATTAATGCGCCCTTCCATGACGCAGTATGTAGCGCCGATTCGATCCAGGCCGCGGCCGGAATGAGCCAAAGGGGGGGGGGGGAGGGGAATACCGCGGGACGCGTCCTTACGCAACACAGCCGCGTCGCCAGCGACCGGTCACGGCCGCCAGCTCGGCGGTGGCCGCCCGGCTGCACAGGCGCTGACCTACCGGCCTTGAGCGGACGCGGCACGCCGCCGACGAACACGGTCTTGCGCGGGTCGAGCGGCAGCGACGCGTCCAGCACGAAGTCGGCGTCGGAGAGCTTCCACGGCCGAATCTGCACCGGCTTGTCCTTGATGGTCGGCGACGAGACGCACAGGTAAAGCTTGTCGTCGTCCTGGATGCAGGTGTCGATCAGCTGCTGCACCGAACTCTCGTCCTGGCGGCAGATGCGATGGGCTGGGCTATCGACGCTGGTCACAGAACGCGCCGCCACCAGTCACACACACATTGAGAGCACACACACACTCATTGAGAGCACGCCGGTGGGCGAACACCTTGACGACAAGCGTCAATTTGGCATTGGCATCTGCGTGCGCTGTACGTGGTAGAGCTGCCCTCCCATAAAGCACGAAATATCCATCCATGTGTTCAGTTCAATGGCAGGGCAGCGTGGAAAAACACAACACGTCACCCAGGCGTGGCTCGATTCGGAACAGTGGTTCTGAAGGCCGTGGTACCAAAGGCAGTAGTACTGAGGGCACTAGTACTGAAGGCACTGGTGATGATGGCGGTGGTATTGATTGACGTTCAACGCTGGTGCTAACGACGTCGCAGCCCAGACGGGTCGAGCATTGTTAGGACGAAAAAGACCGCGGGAAAGTCCGCAGCCTCCTCCACCCACTTAGAAAATCTTTTCAAAGCTCGACTCGCGAAGCCCCGCAGCAGATTTTCAGATTGGACGAAATCCCCTTGATAGCCGAGACAAAAGGCCGTTGCGGGAGGACTAATCCGCGCCTAGGCCGGAGGAGCGCCCGCCCAACCCGAGACGGCGGCGCAGTCTGGGCGGGCGCCACAGCCGCCGGCACGCACATCTGTCGACGGTCGGGGCGGACGGGCCGGGCCGGATCGATAGTATCGAGCGGACCGACGGCGGCCGATCTGGGCCGATCGGCAGGTGACTGGAGCGACATCGATCGTCGAGGCGCGCGGCGCTCCGCCCCCGCCCGCCGGTGGGCGGATCAATAGCGCCGCCGGACCCGCCCACCGCGCACACCTGGGCGGGGCTCCCGGCCGCCGAGCGCCGCCGCCCGCCCGCACGGCACGCGCCGCCCCCGCCGCGCTCGTTACGCCGCACAGACGCGCCCGGCCATCAGCTGTGCCCGACACGGGAAATGGGCACTCGTGGCGCGGCCGGGCAGCCGCACCAGCGCCCCTCGACCCGTCACCCGCCACGCTCCACACCCGGCAGTCACGGGTGCTGCCTTTGTGTGCGGTTCATGCCTTATCACGCTCCGTCAGCACGTCCCTATCGCCGCCAGTTGCCGTTGGAGATCACACGACCGCGACTCGTCCTGGCCCGCAGATAGCCGCCGCGCTGCGACGCACGCACATGATAGCTCGATGTTTCACCTTGTAGGAGTGCCCGTAATCGAGTGTGCCAGCCGTCAGGTGAACGACGCGCCGCCAAAGGCACTTAGCTGAAAACGGCGGTGTCAATTCAGCACAGCGCGGCGGTATGGCGGCTACTCCGCCACGCAGTAGCAGTCTGTTACCTGGAACAGGAGGAAGGCGTATCCCTTGGGCGGGAAGTACGACTTTGATTCGGCCTTGTGCGGCCAGTCGACCACCAGCGGTCCGAAGCGCCGGAAAGACGCCGTGATCTCCTCTGCAACAGAGCCGACGACCGGCGGTCAGTCCCGCGTCCTCCGCCGAGGCAGATGAGCCGCCTCCCGTGACGGCCGGCAACCGCCGGCCGGCGACGGACGTCTGTCCTGCGGCCCTCCGGAGGCGCCGCTGGCATAGCCCGACGGCGGGGAGGCACCACACACGGCGGCGAGGCAGCCGGCCGGCCCGCTCCCCTGGGTCCGGCCGGCCACCGTCATCATCATCTATCCCGGCCGGCGGACTGGCCGCGTATATCATGGCCGCGCGGCCGCCCGCCGGACGCATCGATTCGACCACGCAAACAACGCTCCCGCGCTCATAAACTGTCATCTCTGCCACCCAGCAACGACAGGAAAAAAAGGACGGCCCGGCCCGGCTAATTTATGGCTGCCGCTTGATAAAAGGGCTGGGCCTACTAGCGGGGAGATTCGCTGTTGTTGACGCCGTCGCCGGCGGCGGTGACCCGCCCGCTCGACACTAACCGGCCAGACGGCGGAAATGGTGCGCGCGCCGCCCCACCCAATCGCATTTTATGACCATACGGTTAAATAGTCCGGTTATTTACGTCCAATAAGTGAGGGAGACGCAAAATGGAGCCCAAAAAACATTTCATGCAAAGAATGAGAATTTGAAGCGACATTTCTCAATTGATTTGCTAGGTTTAGAGGGTAAGGCTCATTAAAGGATGGTTAGTTCAAAGTTTGAAAAGTTAGTAATTAAGACCAGGAAAAGACTTCAAACTACCGCCCGAACTTTCCGACCAGCTGATGAAAGAGCACAAGACCCGCGCAAAGGAACACAATGCAGCACGCGGGGAAAGTACAGAATTAACACGATTATCAAGATTCAGGGCCTAACGTGCAGGCGTAAGGGTGCATTAAACGATTGTCATGAGTAAGCTAGTAGCTAACTGGACCAAACACAAACAAAAATTGCAAAGCATAGAACTTAAAAATAAAGATAAGCCTGCTTCTAGCTCGACAATAGAAATACCAACAAACGCTCGCACGACTTTCTCAGAGGTCACATCCCTGTCCAGCCACGCGCCGCACCGCGGTCACAACAGGTCACGAATGGCCGGTGGGTCGCCTGAAAGACCTCTCCCCGCCACCCAGCCAAGGCGCCCGCGTGCGTGGGAGCCTCTGACCATGCAGTGCGTTCGGACGTGGGGCGGCCGTTGCAGGAGCGCAGCGGCCGTGACAGAGGCGCCGGCCGTGCCGCAGCGTCGCCGAGAGGAGCAGCGGCGGCCTCCGTCGCTAACGCCTCCCCGACGCACACCTGCTCCTGGAAGTCGGCGGGCTGGGCGCCGGCCGCCAACACACGCGCCACCTCTGTAAACAGTGCCGCCAACGGTCCCGTGACCCCGCACCCGTGGGCAAGATGGCCGGCCGGGCCGGGAAGGAACGCACCCTCGTCGATGTCGGGCGGCAGGCCGCCGACGAACACCTTGCGCGAGTAGCGCTCGCCGTTGTCGCCCGAGCCGGAGGAGCGGGGCGAGGTGCGCGACGGACTGAGCGCCGGCAGGCCGTCCAGCAGGCCGTGCTCGTCCAGCAGGTGCGCAGATTCGTCTAGGCCCGGGAAGAACGGCGGCTTGCCTGGCGGAGGAGGGGGCGGCCCGTCAGGCGGCAGCGACGGCGGCGGCGGCGGCAGGTTATGTGGTTGAGACCGGAACACCCCGCATGCATGCCTGGTGAGAACAAATGGGAACGAACAGACCGCTGGCGAAATGGGATAGCGTAAGCATTCGTCAGAGGGTTGTCAATGGCAGAAAGAGGGCGCGTTTCACGGTGCCTAGAACAGCGAAATGCTGCTGAATGAAGGTATTATGGTGTGCGGTGCGAAACAACATTCATTAAGATGTCCAAAACACCCGGTTTAGTTCAAGCACTTCTTACCCATATCCTGTTGTTCGTCCGAGAATATAAAAAAGCCGAGGCTCAATGCTCACGCCGTGACCGGCCTCCACAAAGCACACGCGATCAATCAATCCGTGCTTGGATGCAAACGGGATCACAAGCGTTGCAAACATTGTGGCAGCTACGTTGGCGAAAATGCCACATTTGAATCACATGGGTCTTTATGAAACAGCTGTTTCATTCCTCTGTGTTGATGTAATTAACTCAGAATTATTGGCACATTTGGACCGCAGTTGCTGGCTAGGGTGAAAACGGCCGTTCAGGCGCCAGTTCATTGATGTCATGGGACCGTTATCTGCTAAATGCGCTCTCCCGGTTTCGCGTGCATATCTAGGTAACCCTTTATAGCATAAGGTGACTTATAAATCTTGAGTCGAAAACAAAAACTGCGTCAACTACGCATTTCATAGCTTTCCAAATAACCACGCACACCAGAGAAAGACCCCGCAAAGTTTGGACAGCCACCTTGCCGAAGTCACTATGGCGCCCACTGGACCTCTGATCGCCAGTGGCTGCCCTGTCTATATCGGGCTTGGCCTATATCGAGCGGTAAAGATTGCAACGCAATAGCGGCTTCCGAGATTGGGGCTGATTACCAGGTCTCAAAACAGCTTAGCTGCCTTTTCATGATTGATACGATAATGGCAAAGACTATCACACAGTACAAGCAGACAACAGTACTGCCGTTGCACTGGCCTTCCTTGCCCACTTAACAAAAGACCGAATTTTCATAGTTCAGCGATTTCTGAGTAGAATATCAAGTTACACCATTGGAGTGAGGGAATTGCAAATTGGAACAAAATGCGCAACGCTTAAACAGCCAATGTAGTTTTGTATTAAAGCGAGTAAAGACAACACTATGCTGCACAGAATACGCGTGACTAACATGAACACACACTTGGCAAACGCTGCACCACGTTGTGTTGTACCGTACAATGTTCCATCCGCTCTTGACAGCTGCCCGCATTTATGGTTTGGAGTTGCAGACATTCAATTTTTACGGTGTGTTGCCACCACAATGCGGCCGGCGGCGTGGGAGCACGGCGAGTCCGTTCGTGATGGCTGAGGTGGGACCCGTCAAGTCGGGCGGCGGACACGTTCGTGACGCGGGCAGAAAACACAAAACATGCACGGAGTCACGGCGCTTACGGTGAGTGCTGGGCTGCGGATATGACGGAATTCTGCGGCAATAATCCCTTTGGGGAAAACTGAGCATGGCTTTGGGAAACTTCACGCACACACCAGTTACACGCAGGCTTAACTTCTGCTGAACGTTGCGGTGGTGCCACGGACGCATCAACTTGCTATATAGGAGCGTGGCAATGTTTTCTTTTACGCCACTGAGCATAACTGAACCGTCGCCGCGCAAGGGGAGGCACAAAACACGAATGCATGTTTCAACTAAGTCAGGCTGCTGCGCGGGGGAATAAGAGTCACTCTATGTAAAACGTCCAGAACCGACGCAGAACCGCAGGAATCGACACCGTCATTGGACAGACGGTACACATGTGAGCATGCAGGGAAGCAATGGAGACTGCTCCATGTGTCACGTTCATCAGAGCTTTAAGCATCCTTACAAAAAAGGCGTTATATACATCATTGAGTGCAAACGGCATGGATCAGATATTAAATCAGATCGCAGTTGGCTGTGCGGGGTGAGCTGATATACATTTTAACGTCTATTAACATAGATGAAGGACCTCTAGCTGCACGTGAAAGTAATTTACTTGACGTCAACTTGCGTTCCATTCCATAGCGTCTGTTCAGTGGCCACACAACGCGATACTGGTTGCACATGCGACGATAAGATACCATGGTGGAATGCGAAATAAACTGCACGCAAGCCGCTTGCATTTTCTGGACTCGAAATCAGTGAAATGACCCATGCATGCCCAAAGCACTTCGCTCCTTTAAATAGTGTGCGCTAATTTGGAAGCTACGGAAGTTTTTCTCTTTGACAGTGTTCTGACCGTCATGCGGCACTGCAGCGTGTTCCGGTCATATCGTCGCGGCACATAATCAGCGCTGTCGCCACAGGTCTCACCAGCCTCACTGAGACAGCATAGCCTTAAAACTCGAACACCAAGTGCAGTGGAAACGACCACGTCGATATATGGACCACCGCCCTTTACCCTTGACCCACACAATCGGCCAGGACCCGTTTAAAATAATCAAAATGCACCGGAGGGGGCAAACGCACGGTGCGGCCGGCCCTGCACACACTGTTAAGTGGCACAGCACAACGCGAGCAGCAGCCAGCTCGGCGAGCTCGCAAGCGGACGCCGACACGGGTTCGGCCGCTGGGCCCGGGGCGCCGCCAACGCCGGGCGCCCGCTGACCTCGCTGGCTCGCTCCGCGGCCGGGGACAAGCCGGCCGCACCGCGGCATCGCTGCGGGCGCGCAGGCAGGCCGGCACCACCGCCCCGGTCAGAACATACATGACAAGGCCTGTGAGGCGGCCTCACGTGGTCTGCACGAGGCCGGAGGGGAGGGGCGTGCGCTGCTCGAATCACCTCACAGCGAATGTAGGATCGTGCAACAACGCAAACTTAAAACTGGCGACAAGGCAGTGTGCAGGAAGCCTATACCTTTCCGCCTTCGAGGCGCGCACGCTGCATGGAAGAAGGCACAGCGCGATGAACAAGCTGCCCGCGATCGCAAGCACTTCCAACGCACTACTCAACCCGCTCGCGTCCACCACCGGCTTCCTCTATCCCCCCCATAGGCATCCATATCCCGCCGGTCTGCTCGCACCATAGTGCATGCCCACAGAAATTTGAAATCGTGTCACGGCAACGCTTCGCAAATGGCCCTTTACTGCACCGCCGTACAGCAGTCTTACAGCACTGGACGAGATAATTAAATTCCGTGAAGCCGCAAGGCATGTGAGATCGAAGTGGTGCGGTCGCGGGCTGGCCTGTGATTGGTGGTTAGCATCCAGACGCGGAGAAGCAGCTGCCTGCCCCCTCCGGCGACTGGCTGGGCGCCTGCTCCCTCGCCGTCTGCACCCAGCTCGCTGGGGACGCATGGCCTAATGACGGCCGTGAATTTTCAACATGTCTGTGTTTTGATAGCATTGCGGTTTGGCGAACAGAACGAGTCGTCTTGCCCCACCGTGCGCCCTACCGCAAGAGCGCACCTGCTCCCAGCGACCGAGGCAGGCAATGTCAACGCCCACATGAGATGGGTGTTACGCGAAATGCGGTGCCTCTGACATGCGGAGCGGTTCTTCGAAAAGTGCAACTCCATCCTGATCCGCCTCCCTGCCGCACTGCCGGCGCCAGACGTGAGCCGCTCAGCCAGACACACCGCAGGGACGGCAGCCGCAGCTTCAGCGCGCAGAGTCGACAGAGCGCGGCTGCCTCCGCCGCCGCTGCATGACAGCGTCAGTGACGTGCAGTGACCGACACCCGGCCGCCGGCGGTCGGCCACAGCCGGGCTCCCCGGCCGATTCGATCTGCGCGTGCAACGGCAGACGTCACGGGCCGTCGGGCGCCAGCCGCGACGCACCGCCGCGCACAAACACGTCTATAAACGCACCGACGTCGCGCCACTGCCGCCTGCGACTCGCAAGTTACCTGGCCGCGGGCCAGGAAGGCCAGAACACTGCGGGGCCGGGCGGTGGTGGGGTACGGACCGCGAACCCGGTGGCGGGGGGTTGCCATCAAGCGCCTGCACGGCCTGTCAGTGCGCCACCGGACGCGACCTGAGCGACCCGCCGCTAGGCCGCCAGACCGGCCAGCCAGGGGACCCCATGACGCTGCCGAATACGACGACGGGGTCTGGGCCGCGAGTCTGGCCACAACCTCCTCAGTGAGCCCCATTGGCATCCGGGCCGTCCCATTAATCGCCTGTCCCACGTGAAACTTTCAGCCGACTTCCAACGTATCCATATTTCAGCCGGCACGGCCAGCGCAGCGCGCATCATTTATTTATCTCTGCCACGCAGCGGGCCGCGTCTGCCGCCTGCACGGGCCGGAGGTGAGCCCTGCCACCGGCGGAGGCGGCCGTCTGTGCCGCAGCCAAGGTCACTGGCGGCGGCCCGAGCCCAGCTGGGCCAAGCGAGCCTGGCACGCCACACCCGCCCCCACCCAGCCCGCGCTCGCCTGCCAGCCAGCCGTCAGCCGGCCGGCCGGCCTACGTCCGCGCACCGCTGCCAACGAACACTAGCGCTGCGCACGAGCCACTCGAACGGGCTGCGTCCGCTGGCAGAGAGGCCGGCGCCGCACCCGCGGACGAGCACGTCCTGCGCAGTTCAAGCGCGGACGAGTGCGCGTCACTCTGAGCCACATGGGATTGAATTCCCTGAGTAATCCTCGGCTGAGTTTGTACACACTTGATGCATAAAAGAAACCAGCTCTTGGTAAGCCGGGCAACGCCGGCAGACTGGTAAACACTCACATCAAACGGACGGAGGCAGGATTTGCACACGGGAACATCAAACGGGTGCTCGCGCACCGTATCCTCACAATATTGTGCACACAGTCACGCATCACAGAGATTATACAGAAGCCGATTACGTGGGCTATTAGGAGCAGGCTATCACTGCATCCCGCACATGGTCGACACAAAAGCTGAAGCTCTCCTGATCGGTCAAATAACGGCATAGTTATGTACGTATAAAGGCACAATGTGTGTTCACAGATATCGCACATCGACGGAGGAGAATGGCGCATATGAAATGGCATGTTTGGGGGAAAACCGTGCACGTCCCCCTCTCTCTGATGATGATTTGGGCTTTGAGGCGCACCGACAACGTTGGTCATATGGCAGCATCCCCCCCCCCCCCTCTCTCCCTCCCTCGTATACACTACATCCAGTTTCATGCCTGCTTTCCAAGCGCGGTGGGTGACCCAGCGCCTGGACTTACCCTGCAGCTGTCCCAGCGAATGCAGCGCGCTGGCGTTGCAGTTGACGTAACCTGCAACAAAACAGCGATGAGTCTCGTAAACTGGCGTTCGCCTTGCACATACAGCCGAGACGGCACAAACGTCAGCGAGTCAGTCAACCACACGTCTGCAACAGCAGAACCCGATTGTCGGCCCTGTGGGCGCAACGCATCCGCTGTCAGCACGGATAGCCGACTCGTCCGCCGAGCCCGGCCTGACCGCCCACAATCCTCCCTCCACGACCGCCAGCTGAACACCCCACCGGTGTCGCGCTAACGCTCCGCTCGGGAGCCGCTGGTGACCGCGCACGTCCCGCTGGTGATGACGCCCCGATGGCGTCCGCCGACGCCGGCTGCTCGTCAGCTGGCGGCGGTCCGCCGCACGCGACCACAGTCAACACTCGAGATAGCTGAGGCCGGGCCGCCGGTGCTCTCGAGTGGCGCGGCAGACACGGTCCTGAGTGGCGGCCACCGCTGCCGCACGGCCAGCCCAGGGACGGAGCCTCACGAGCGCAAGATGCCCAACAGCGGAGCCAGCAAAACAGAATCCAGCCGATCAAGTAGAACCGACACTGACCGGGGTCGCAAATGGCTCCGGTTTTCCAAATTGGCCACGCTTCGCCGGCTATTTTGGGGACCAGGGTGACAAACGACATGCAGGGTTCGTAATTAGCGCAATCACGCGCCAACTTTTCGTTTTACATGGGCGATCACTCCCCACACCCCACTGATTCCGTGGACAAGCACCAAAGCTTTTCAGACAATAATTACGGACCCACAGTAAAGCAGAGCACCTGGGCGGATTTTAGCGGGCATTAACACCGCATAGCGTGAGTTAGTGGGTGGCATGCTTACGAAACACGCCCACGACTTGGCCTGTGTTATCGCCTTGGCGCATCACTGCCAAGGGAATCCAACTAGGACGTTTTGCAGCCCGTTGGCCGACGTCGCAAACGCACACGATGGGGCACGCATAGCGCACAGTCACGTCCGTCGAGCTCCCGTCGGCGGGCGCAGCGCGCTCGCCAGCAGGACGGCGCGGCGTTCGGGCGGATGCCGTCCCCTGTGCTCGGGACGGGCGCCCAGCCGTCAGCCGCCGTAAAGCCTGGAGCCGCCGGGGCCGTATCCGGCGACCGGGACCGGGTCACCGGGGTTTTGGGCGCCGCGCCGCTGCCAGCACCGGACGACCCGGCCGCCTCCGCCAGACGGCACCAACGCCACGGCGGGGGCGTCCGGGACGACGGCTCGTCCGTCCCACCTGAACTGCCTCGCGATACCACTTAAGCTGCCGACGCCGCGCACGTATGACGAACGACGGACCCGAGGAGTGGGCGCGACGGCTGCAGGCCGGACGCCGGAGGAGTGCCGGCGAGGGGGAGAGCGCCGGCGGCGCATGCCGGTGGCAGGATCGATGTGTGCCAAGGCGCCAGACAATAGATGGCTCGTATTGACCCGACCGCGGATGCGGCGTCTTTTGTACACAAATATCGCCGCGGGCGACGCGTCACCGGGTCGCGGCCGCGCCGCAGGCTGGTCCGTGTCACGGTGCAGTGCGAGGCCGGGCGCGGCGCGGGCGGCGCCACGGCGTCCGCCGCCCGCGCCCCGGCTCGCCCACGGCCGACGCGGCGCCGCCCCGCGTGGCCTTGACAATGGACGAAGCGTTGCACCACGACCGGTCACGCAGCACAACGCCAGCCGCCTGCGACAAAAACACCGCAGCGCTAGCGCAAACGGACCGGCGGATCTTCGCTGTAAGCCGGGAAGCGGAGCGTCCAGTCACCGCCTGCCGTGGAGAGCACCGCCGACGCAGACCCATACTAAATAGACGGTCGTGTACTCGTCTATTTTTTAATGGATTAGGTTTCACTAGCGGTGGGGTTTTGCTGTAGTTCTTTTATAACTCAGATGTGGGTTCTGACGGTACCGCCCGAGACGAAACATCGCGATAAAGTTCAACATAAACGCACAATACCGTGAATTGCACCCGCAACAGCCAGGTGTAGAACATGAGGATCTCTACACGTCTATAACATGCTGTACGTTTTAGTGTTTTAGCTGCTGGGTTCAACTACTTTGCAACCTATCGAAAACAACCAGCCAAGGCACATAGATCATTAATATGTTGATAGATCTTTTGCAACCTTCGCTCGCAGGATACTCCTCCGCGGCCAAATCATATTCCACATAATTTTTTACCAATAGAAATGTCAGATTGTTTACAGGCATTACCCACGCAACCCGGTGCCGTATCCTAAGAGCCAGTTACTAGGGAAGCAGCGTGTTCACGCGTGGGGAGCCGGCCCTCCGGTATGAGCTGCTGAATGTGAGCTCGCGGCGATCACACATGTGAAACTGAGTGAGTTGCGTAGCCCCGCGTCCACGTTGTGCGGCATCATGCGTGCGACGACCAAGCATTCATTTCACCAACGTGCTACAAGACGGCGACCAGCCGTCAAGCATGACCAGGCGATTTAGAAAATTGGCATGGCTTCTAAATAACACGGGAAATTTAAAATTTGCATCCCACAAATCTTCCAAATGTCAGCAAAATACGTGCGCGGCATACATCAATGCCCCACCAGTCACAAATTCAACAATCACCAGCACTGAGCTGGCATTGCAATTCCGGTACCTTCCTGGCTGCATAGCACCGAAGGTATTCATTTGCTGGCAGTGCTTCGGCGCAGACTATCAGAATGCCCTAAAAGTCTGGACGCGGTCGCGGGGCCGGAAGGCGCAAAAACAACGTCAGTCACGCTTGCTCTTATGCTACGGCTTTCCTCAGCATGTATGGATATATGTGATTTTGCACACGTCAACGAAGCAAGACGAAACTTCACACCATGACAATGGAAAGGGAGTTCGGAATCACGGAAGGAACAACACAACAATTTTAAGGGGTATGTTGCTAAGGTTGAATATTTGCATTGTAGGAGGAAAGGGGGGTGGGGGGCAGGGGGAAATGGTTAGAAAACAGAGATGAATGGCTTGAAAAGACACTTAAGGGTTTAAAAACGTTGCACAGCGTAGTGCAATGTCCAAGCCCGAAAACACATTCGTTCCGTAAAGGGAATAGACAAAAACAACATACTCGGTTGGTTACCGAATCTGTTTGTACTTATCCTATATCACTGTCACTGAACAATCGAAGAAGGCAACCAACACTAAGGCGCCTTCCCTTAACATCACGATGAGCTTCGTTGTCCAGTTTATCGTGATATCAACTGATTCGCACCAAAGCGCTGTTCAAGGACAAGATGTTACATTGCGAACCCGAAATGAGTATGACGCTCTCAACACACGATTGCGTTTTTAGGGCCTTGGTCTAAAAGCGGTTTTCCTATGCTGCTTTCCCAAAAAGCGAGTATAATACTGTGATTTCAAAAAACGCAGCTATCCAACCCCAGCTGTGTTCAAAGTCCTGAAATAAATTCACACTCCTGAAATATTAAGTCTGCGCTTTATCTTCGACCGTAGTTCTGGATCAAAACCCAGCCATTATATAAACGCGATCGATGCGTACTCGCCGCCCACAGCACCAGTTTGAAATCAAAATTTCCAACTCCTTCAATCAAACCTAAAATAAGACAACCTTCCTTTGCATGACCGTTCTAGTCAGTCCCAAGACGCGCACTTTCCTCTGCTTGCATGCAATTAGCCCTGGGTCTGCTTTATCCGACTTTATTGCTAGCACGTACTAACACCTACGCTGACGACACAAAACATAACCGTGCCACGCTAGTATTGGCATTGGTCAGAATATACAAGCTCTGGGAGATCAACGCCCCGTAGAAGTGTGACACAACTGTGCATGATGGACGACTTATGTGGCATGACCAAACGGGGCTAAGCCGACTTTAAGCGAAAATCTACATATTTCCAGCTTTTTCTAGAAAGGCATACAGCAGGACTATTTCACGCCTCCATAACCCTTTTCTGAATGTCCTTTACAGGTTAACACATTCGTCTTAACTGAAACGGATAGAAGGAATGAGCATGACGAACAACCACTGATCCCAATCATTTAAAGCCAGTCAAAATGCACAGGTTTCCACCTTCACAATCAACCGGGACAAACAGCACGCTCTTTCCCGTTTCGTACGCACTGCTGGTTTCAGAAACAAGGCAATCTAATCTACTGTGCCGCTCGGCGACGAGCCGGCCCGGTCCCGTACCCGCCGGCGACACGTCACGCCCACTCTCGACAGTACATCGCTAGCGGGCGGCACCGTTTGCCAGCGGCTGTGCCGCACGGTGAAAGCTCGTCGGCCGGCACGCGAGCATAAAAACCCCACCTATTGATTGTTCCCCGCCGGGTGTTCGGCGTCCGTCCCAGTGCAGAGGAGGGTCAACGCACCTTGCGCGCGGCCCGCGGCCCGCGGCCCGCCGCGCTCCCCCCGCTCCGCTGGAGGGGTCGGCCCGGACGCGGCATCCGCATCCGAACCGGCCCCGCCGCCGGCCGCCGGAGGCACGCCCACGCAGACGGTCAGT